AATGGTTTGTTTATTCTCTGAAGTCTGATTTTAGTGACAACTCTTTTAAGAAGCAGTGATACAGGATGGCTAATCTATACCTGGATGCCCTTTCACATGATCTTAAGAGATAATCCCTCAAAGAAAAATGTTTTCTAAGTGTAGTACTGAAGACAAGCTAGAGCCAGCTCTACATGGTCTACCTGTATCATCCCACCTCTATTCTACTCTTAATAAGCTATTTTCTATGCCTTTCACAGTTTGCCATGAAACATGAAGGCAACTATGAAAACAAGAAGAAATCCTATTCCTCAAGAGGCTAAGGTAGAAAAATCCTGAATTTATGTCTCATATAGCTATGGAAGGAAGACTTACCCCCAAAACAAGACAACAAAACCCACAAAAGGCAAGTGCAAACAGGAGGCTGTGTTTATTTAAAAGACTCATGAGCACAGTCAACAAAGAATGTTTGCATTCACTGCCTACCACCCTCAACAAGGCACCCAGTCCTGTCACGGGCTTCCCCTTTAAGAATAACAGTTATCAGCCAGGCAGTGGTGACACAGGCCTTTAATCTCATTTGGGAGGCAGAGACACGCATATCTCTGCAAGTTCAAGGCTAGCCTGGTCTACAGAGTGAGTTTCAGGACAGCCAAAGCTGTTACATAGAGAAACCCTGTCTCAATACCCACCTCTAAGAATAGCAGTTATCATTTCACCATTGCTTGTAAGTTACACTAGAAGTTTCTAAACAAATGGGGGGGGGTTCTGCTCATGGAATCACACAAATGTCTCATGAGTATGGAGGAAATTATGCTTTCTTATAGATTTCCCTGAAGATGCTGTAGTTAATATAGACACACGCCTTTAATTTGTTGTGGCCACCAAGGACAAGATGATCCTTACAGTTCTGTTTGTTATTTTATTGCCTGACAACAAATTTCACTTTCTATATTTTGCCTCGGAATAAAAATACATAATTGATTAACTATGGCCAATCTGTTGGAAAATTGGCTAAGGAAAATGAAGGACTATTCAATCACTATGGACGCCTTATTGGCTAATCAAATTTATATTCTTCCTAGCAGACACTCTCCTTCCCATTATCCTCTCCTTCCCTGGCAAATAAACCCATTACTGGTTTATCTGTTCTTCTTCTGGAAACCTAAGGGGTACTGAAAAAGTTATCCCCACCCTAGCTCAAGGGATGAGGTCTAATGAGAGAGGTCAACTAAACTGTCACCAGCCCTTTGGCCAAAATGGATTCATCTTTCAGAGTGAAGCTAATCAAGACTAGACAGGAGACAGACTCTTCATTAATTGGACCACTTATTCTAGAGGCTCTTCTTTTTCCAAGGAGATGAGAGATTCTCTCCCTGTTTCTTTGATTTCTGCTCATTTCTATTTCATGCAAGGTGGGGGTGGGCAGAAAGCGTGATGTCTGTTACTTCCTGTGCTCATCTGACAGGAGAAGTTTGTTTGAAGGTAAACTGACACTTAAGAAAGACACCGGCTCTACCTGCTCCAAGCGTCTCCACTTTCCTCTGCCTACTTATAATGGACAAAATCGTTTCTTTAAGGTTAAAGTCAGCGTGGAGTGAGATTCTATAGACGAGCTCACTCAGCAGCTTATAAATGAGGATTCCATGTGCTTCACAGGCACAAGTAAAAAATTTAAATCAGGCCTCTTTAATTTTTCTTCAGAGTTCTTGTCTGTTAGGACTGCCACAGTATCAAGCTCCGTCTCTGATGTTCAACTTCGAGATCAAAGGAAAAATTGCATAAAAATCTGAAAGTAAACAGAGACAATCCTTCCAGCCTTTAGAAGTCATAAATGCCAGGACTTTAATCTTCCAGGGGAGCACAGAGTGTAGTTTTATCTTCAATTTCCACCAAGACTCAGTGAGTCTTTCATTTATAAATTATCTATGGCCTCAAAGCCCGCCCTTGATGCTTCATCCCTGAGATGCTACTGGCCTGTTCCTCGATTCCCATGCTCAGCAAAATTTCCAAAACCAGCTGCAACACTGACAGGTTGTTTCTCTATCTTACTGGGATGGCTCTCACCACCGTGGCCTCCATTTTGACAAATGCGGTGAACACACCTGTGTCTTCCTCTTGGAGTCTTCCCAGGTCACTGGTTAGCCATCATACTGCTGCATGCTGGCTCTTTCTCTACCTGACCTCAGGGTGTGGCTGTGTCCCCTCTGCCCCTCCATGAACCTGCTCCCCAGCAGTCCCCTGGCAGACACCTACTCAGCATGCCCTCCTTCCCTACCTACCATCTCTACGCTTACAATTTCCAGTTCCCAGCCTCTGGCCAGTTCTTTACACTTTAGATAGATGCCTATCTAAAAATTTCACTAGATGCCCCTGCCCATGGCATTTATTATTTAAGATCCACTACATGAGGCCATGACCCGATTCCCTCGAACCCTTCAGGGGCCTCCCCCAACTGATATGACACCAGAATGTGCCTGCTGATTGAAGCATCTTTGACTTTTCTGCATCTTTTTTGGCGTCCCCTCAAAATATATCCTCAAGTTGGTGACTCGTCACCTGTCTGGTGCTTCCCAGCAGGGCTCCCTCACTGCAAAAACTTCTCACTTCTCTGTTTTCTGAGTCATTCTTTCCAAGGTTTGGTTCTTAATCCACACAGAAGGCAGAATGGTTTCTTTAAAATGTTCATAGGTCTGAAAGAATGGCTTAGCCATAAAGAGAGTGTACTATCCCCACAAAGGACTTTATACCAGCCCCCAGAATCTATGTTGGGAGGCTCACAATTACCTGTAACTCCAGGTCCAGGCGATCTGACTCCCTCTTCTAGCCACTTTGTGCTCTGCACACACACACACACACACACACACACACACACACACACACACACCACACACACCACTTAAAAAAAAACAAACCTTTTCAATGCCTGCCGAAGAACCATCAGTGGCTTTCCTTGGTCCCTGGACTAATATCCATATTACTTGTTGTTAAAGCAGCTTCTGCCAGCATTTCTGGCACCTTCGTCCTTCTCCATTCATTATGTTCCGATTATTCTAGAGTTTTCTTTTATCCATCACTTTCCATTTACCTGCTTTGCTTTCTGCTCAGCTCATCATCTTTACATGCCTGGGTCCAATATATCAAGGGAGTGTCACTTCAAATGCTGTCTCAGTTACTGTTCTGCCACTTTCAAAGAGACCGCATGGCCAAGGCAACTCATAAACCGAAGCATTTAACTGGGAGCTTGCTTACAGTTCCAGAGAGTTAGCCCAAGTCGTCATGGCAGTGAGCATGGCAGCAGGGGCAGATGTGGCCCTGTCGGAGTAGCTGAGAGCTGCTTCCTGATCCCCAGGCCAAGGGAGGCACAGGGCCACCCCACCCAGCGACACACTTCCTGCAACAAAGCCACGTGTACTGCGACAAGACGGCACCGGCTAATGCCTTTGATCTTTTCAAACACTTGCACTCCCTGGTGACCAAGCATTGGAATACGCGAGCCTATGGGACTATGCTTACCCAGACGACCACACTCGTCATGTTTCTGCGGGCGCCTTTCTTGATCCTTCCATCTACAGGGGCCAGTCCTGTGCCTTCAGTCAACCCTCTCGGTGGCCTGACTGTCTGGTTTTCCTTCAGCACAGTTCCTAGCTCCGTCGAAAACCATGTTTTGTGCTTGACTGTTTGTGGTCTCTTGGTTCACTCACCACCTGGCTGCTAGTAATGTACTCACCACACTGAAAAAGGAAATCCGGGGGGACTCACACTCTGTCTGGATCTGCCCAGGAGCTGCCTCTCTGGTTTTTCTAACACATCCACAATGAGAAACTGCATCAAGAGTGATGCTCCAATCTGAGGTCACCATGGGTTCTTTCCTGTGTGCCCCTGGCTCCCCTTTCTGTCCTCACTGACAACTGTCCTCTGCTGCAGCCACACAGAATCCCTTTCCGGTCACATGTGTGTGCTTCACCTTTCTTGACTCGGTGCTGTTCCGCAGCTCTGTTTTCCATGAGTCACCATCAGCTGACCCTTCAAAATTGCCCGCGCACTTCTTTATTAAATTAGTCAGTCACATCACTATTCCTAGCACAAGCCCCCACAAAGTTATATACTTATAATCACGTCTCCCAATTAGAATCATTAAAGACTTCATATTCCTCTTTAAACCAGCAGCAGACGGCAGGCAGGTATTCAGTTCATTAAATGTTCCGAGCTGGATCAACTTGACCCACTGCCATATGAAAATATAAATAGAACAGCAACTACTTTCCCTCTAATGAATAAAGTTTAAGAAACAAATAGTAAGTTTTATATTATAAAATAGCTATATTATCAACATCATAGAACGCTATTTAGATTGTGACTTTTGTTCATGTTCCTATTCTTAAAAATCATATAGACTGGAAGCCTGGAAGAGGTAATAACTTTTGCAACATTGTAAGCCATTAAGCTGAACATTTAGAAATCAAATACAGTAGCCTTAGAGAACCAAGACCAGCTAGACTCCTATGCAGCAGCACACAGGGTCATTGGAACCCGTCTCCATGAGAAGAGCCATGTGATCTGTCACTCCAAGTGCTACCCAGACACTGGTCTTCAGGAGTGACCAGATTGGAAGGATGAGTCAGTCACCTTGGGCCTCAGACACACCCCAGTCTCAGAATTTTCTCCTGAGCGGCCTTAGTTTTCCTACCTGAGCAGAGGTGATAGTATTACTGGTTTCCTCAACTGAAGGCACTCTGCTCAGAAGTCCTCATTAAGGCTGGGTGGTGTCAGCACACACCTTTAATCCCAGCACTGGGGAGGTGGAGGCAGGTGGATTTCTGTGAGTTTGAAACAAACCTGGTCTACAAAAGCAAGTTCCGGGACAGGTTCCAAAGCTACACAGGGAAACCCTATCTGGAAAAACTGAAGAAGAAGAAGACAGAGGAGGAGGAGAAGTTGTCCTCATTATCCCCAATAAGTCACAGTCCTTCAAACCCAACACACTCAGACTGGAAACTTGTCCAAATGCCACCTCCTACCTTGGGCATGCAGATCAGCAGATGTCCTGTTGTCTGAGACCGTTTAGCAGAGCTGCTGTCTGGCTGCACCTCTGCAGAAAGTGCAAGCTGGAATGGCTGGAGAGGAGAGAACAGGGGCATGTTAAGACAAAAGCCCACCTCAAGGGGTATTTCCATTACAAATTCATCCCACACTGTTAAATTAAGACAGCCATTTAGATGCATCACCATATACTGTATAGGCTGTTCTCAGTATGCATGAACTGGGTTAGTTGGATTCATGTACACGCTAAAGATTATTTAACAGCCACATTCAGTGAAATCTCCATGAGTCCATTTAGGGTGGAAGGGTCATTTTTAGATAAAACATCAATATATGTCTATTTTAATGTCTCTCTGGGCTAACCCAAATGAATGTTTAGAATCAGAAAAAAAAAACTACTTCAAAATAATAAAACTATAGTTTGCATGAATGAATTCATTGACCACTTAGCATGGGCATCCAGTTGAGCTGTATGGCCATGGTATGCAGTTTGGAAGATTACAGTACACAAGTTGCAGGTTTAAAGTAGTCATATACCCAAAATACAAGAGAAACAGCCACTCCCACCATATACTATCCCTGTGGTATAAAACCACACGCCTAACAAATAGGGCACTTGTTGGGTTTCTAGTTTTTCTGATTAGGTAATATTTATTTAAAAAAACAAACAAACAAAAAACAAAACTGGGACCATGAAGCTTAGGTCAAGACTTATCGTTTAAAATGGCAATGTTCCCTGGCTCTGCCTACCTTTCCTTTGACCATTACGCGAACATAAGTTGGCTGCACATCAACGTCAATTAGCGAAGTATCCATGTACCTTCAAAATTAAGCATACCACATCTAGTAATTGTCAAAACAAACAAACAAACAAACAAAAAAAACCCAAACATTCAGCCCAAAGAAGTAAAACATGGAAGCACGTGCACAAGACCACTTACCACTTCAGATGAAGAAAGTTTTAAATGTCCACACCAAAAAGCCCCTAAAATGCTGGCCTTAAATTATCCATACTCCATAGGAAATTCAACATATCAGCAACTTCATTTTTAGACATACGAGTACACTTGGCATTGATTGCCCCTAGCCCAAAAATATCTGAGGCCTGAAATACCAGAGGTTTGCAAAACAGAAATGGTTTGTCATATTCGCCCATGAATATTTCATTCTAAGCCCCTAGGAATCCAGCAGCCAGGAATGCTGCGTCCACCACACTGGGAGCCACCGGCCACCGCCGCTGCTGTGTGGATGCCTCTGTGCCCCACAGCTGTTCCACGGGCACGGGCGCACTGGCCCAGCACCGCCGGGGTGGCAGCTTCGTCCCTGGAAGGTACAAGAGGCTGAACAAAAGAGCCTCCCAGGGACCACAGACACCCAAGCCCAGGCTGTCCTTTTGTCCTGGCCCAACGCAACAGCTAGAGTTTACTGTTAAAATTAGTTTAGTCAAGTAACTTTATTTTAAAAGCAGATTGTGAATATAAGAAAACGGGACAATGACTCAAGACTCACAAATGTTAAGTGTCAAGACTCACAAATGTTAAGTGTAGGGGGGGGCTCGGGGGAGGGGGCTCATGGAAAGGGGGCGGCACTCATGGAAGGGGGTGGGGCTGTGGTGGGGACCAAAGGCCCGGGCTTCATAGTCGGGCACATGGGTTTGTGAGGAATTCACTCGTCTGGTTCCGGCTGCACGGACCTGGACCACGTTCCCAAGCTCTTGCTCAGTCTGCTTCCCCCTGTGTGCTCCGCAGGCACACAGGCTGTGCTCCTCAGACAGCCCGTGTTAGTAAAGGGTTACAACATTAGCTCTTACGTTATCACAGCGAAAAGAGGAGGGAGTCCTCCCCAGTCCTCCCAAGCTCGGGATTGCTCACGGGTTCCCTGCTCCTGCCTACAGGGCCTATGTCTGTTTACAGAGCAGACTACTTCTCATCTCCCAGCTTTCATGGTTCAGGGCAACAAGGTCCCCTGAAAAACCTAGAAACACACAGCAGAGTATCATGAAGCCATGGAAAGGAAGGGCGCTGGTGGACGGGCAGTGAGGGCACAAAGGCCATGTACTGCGTGACTCCATCTACATAAGGTTCCTAGAGCATGCTCGTTTGAGGGTATAGAACTTACGCCCGATTACCATGAGGAGGAAGGAATGAGTATGAGCGCCGCCTGACCGGTGCAGGGTTGAGGTGACAATGTCTAATAGTTACACAGCATCGCGGATTTACCAAGTGCTACTGAGTTGCGTGCTCTGAAGCTTCTTGCCATGGAACATGCTATGTTCTGTGTATTTTGCCACAATTACAAAAGCAAAGTTGGAAGAGGACCTAAGCGGTTATGTTCTGGCTTCTCCGGTTATCGTTTATTGTGACAAAAGTCACTCTCTGAAAACACACCTTCTCCTATATCAGTATAGAGTAACCGTCTCTGTCACCTCCCACAGCTACTGCAAAATCAAAGGAGACACGGAACATGACCGAAGCCATTAACTACACACAGGCTACAGTAGAGCTTTCACAGACATGTGCGTGGACCTATTACTGCCACTCACTCACTCATTCACTCACTCAGTCATTCACTCATTCACTCACTCACTCACTCACTCACTCATTCACTCACTCACTCACTCATTCACTCATTCACTCACTCACTCATTCATTTATTCACTCATTCACTCACTCACTCATTCATTTATTCACTCACTCACTCACTCTCTCACTCATTCACTCTCTCACTGCATCTGATAGGCGCTGGCTACCATGTCATGAACTGGAGACATACAGGCCAAACAACAACAACGTTTCTTGTTTGATCTCAGAATTTAAAATCATAAGAAAATCTACACTTTGTCAGAAAGCGGGCAAAGAGCAAGGAGTGGAGGGAAGTTCTGGGAAAGGGCAGAGCCCCCTCTTCTCAGGCAGAGTCCTCCCTCACATGGTGAGACCTCATCAGAGGCTGCAGGACGGAGACATCGGCAATGGCACAGGCAGGCACAGGGAATCGGGTTCAAATGCAATGGACAGCACAATGACCAGAAGTCCCCGGGGCGGGGCAGTAATCCAAATCTCACACTGTCAAGCAGTGAGGTGGAGTTCAGGTTTGTGTTACAGGAAGGGTAGGCGATGATGAGATGAGCTGAGTGCTCAGTGTCAAACCCAGGACCTTTAGAGGAGAGGATTAACAGTCTGCTGTGGCCACGAGGGGCAACCGGGTCGCCTTGCCACTGTAGTCATGCCTGCCTGCCCACTGGAATAAAGTACAACTCACAAGCGGTCATATGTGGGCAGCTCAGAGCAGAGTGTCTCTTGTGATCACGGGCTGTAAGGTGGAACGAGAGGAGAAGGCTCGTTATTATTATTATGCCACAGCATTTTGTAAAGCAAAGAGTGCTGTCAGGACAAAGGAATAGTCCTAGAGCACAGTGTACTTGAGATGAGAGCATCAGAAAACAGCACAGCTCTGAGAATCATTTCAGCTCTGCCTGCATGACGCAACAGTCCATAGCCGTGGGCCGTGGGGCCTTTGGGTTCCCCCTTTTCGCCCTTGCGCATTTAAAGTTACAGTGAGGGATACAGAGGTGGCTCGGTGGCTAAGAGCACTTGTTGCTCTTGCGGAGGACCTGGGTTCAGGTCCCAAGCACAATGGCTCATGATCACCTGTGACTCCAGACGCAGGGATTCCAGTGCCCTGTTTTGTCTTCCGTGGGCACCAGGCATGCACACAGTGCACATACATTCATACATGTAAAATAATCCTTTTTGGAACAATCACAGTGAACACTCTCTCTCTCTCTTTAAAACAGCAAGTCAACTTCCATTTCTATGTTTCAGACCTTTGCTACCTAGAAAGAGATTTGATGGGAAGATCATGGGAATGAATGTATAATAAAATGCCTTACCTATAGATGGCCAGGTCCAAGATGATCTGGTTGTGTTTATCATCATCTTTCAAAGTGAAATCAAGTCTATAAAGGACACATGGCAGGGGAGGGAAGCTTTAGTACACTGTAAAGATAACCCCATCAAATAATCTAAAGTAAAAGACAACTGGTATATAAAAATCCCTCTATGCCAAACTTACTTTGGTAATTAGACAATAAGACATCTTTTAAGAAGCCTAGGTAATCTACTGACAAATTACACTTGCTGACTCGAAAGCTTTTGGAGGTGAACCACAGGCAAAGCTCTTGCTTTGGTTTGGTGCAGGGATGGAGACACCTGGTGGCTGAAGTGATCTTTTCCTTTTGAGTTTGCTAGAACCAAACCAGAGCATGGGGTCCTTCTGGGGATGGCTGCCTCTGTGTGCTGTGCTTCCAACACCCTGTTCCTCAGGTCCCTGGCAGCTTCCTTCTTGTCCCTTGCATGTCCCCTCCCCCCTTTATCCTGGGAAAGGCTAAGACACAGCCAGAGATTTATGACATTTTCTTTAAGATATGTTAAATAGACAGGAGTCTCACAGTGATGGAGGCACTCCGAGAGGAGGCAAGGGAACCTGGGCAGGCAAGAGCCGAAGGCCCTGACCCTTCAACTACACCGCTGGCTGGGCCCTCAGTATGGCTGCGACACTGGCAGCATATCCCACACAATTACTTGCTCGGTTTCACTTTGAGTAACTCACGAATTAAGCTGTAATTGGTAAAAGCCCACCAACACTGAACAACACACACTGACCCACTCTAAGACAGAAGTGCAGGAGTTGATGTGTAGTTGGTCTCTGAAACTAAGGAAATAGAAGTATATGGTGATCCCGGGTAAAAGCCCAGGACAGGAGAATCAGAACTCAAGGGACCTGGGCTTTAGCCCCAGTGGGCAGATAACTGTCTCTGGGATGGGGACAGTGGGAGGGGCAGTGTGCTGGGGGGTTGTGAGTATTAAGTAGGGGGATGGGAAGCAGCCGTTCTCTTCCAGCCACCTGTACCAACAAACTGATGCCACCCAGCTGACTGAACATAGCAGCCCTGAACTCGGGGCTGAGGCGGGGACCTGGCACGAGTGGTGTGAACACCGTGGTAAAAGCTACGGGATGTAGTTTTTAATTACTCGCTTTTTTGTCACATTGAAAGTTTGTTCATATGATATAGTTTTATTATATTCTTTTATTCTTCCCCTAAGTTCTCCCAGATTCTCCCCTCCTCCCTGTCCAAAAAACCCCACGTTCTCTCTCTCTCTCTCTCTCTCTCTCTCTCAAACAAAACAAAACAGACAAAATCAGCAACAACAGCAGGAGCATGGAGTCCCTTGTGTGTTGGTTAAGTATTACTGCACTCGGGCCTGTCCTGGGGGGAGGTGGGCATACCCACTGCCACTCCTCCTGCTCTCCAGCGCCTATCGCCCGCAAACAGCTCCAAGATGAGGAGTGTGGGACCTTGAGCCCGCTTTCCCTTCTCTGTGCTTGGAAAGGGCATAAGACTGGATGAAGCTCTGGCCCAGGAAACACGACAAAAACCAAAAGCCAGCTGAGAAACTTCCTGTAGAGCTCATGGAAGCAGAGGATCCACCCAAGCATAAGAGCAAGAGGGAGAGTATGGTGGGGCCGGGCTTTGCATGCTCACTGTGCAAACAATGGGACTAAGGATGTTTCTGGACGATGCAATATTCAAGAAGAGACTTCATGAAGGAAAGAGCAAAGAGCCAGGCAGTGGTGGTGCACGCCTTTAATCCCAGCACTCTGGAGGCAGAGGCAGGAGGATCTCCGTGAGTTCCAGGCCAGGCTCAACAGCTAGAGCAACAGAGAGAAACCCTGCCAGGAAACCCACCCCACCCTCCAAAAGAGGAAGAAGAAATGCACAGTAGAATGTCAGAGGCTGAGTCCTGACAAGTCTGCTGAGAAATTTGGCTATTGCTTGGGGCAGAGAAGCAGAAGTTGACAGAAAATGGAAGGGGAGGTCTTACTTCTTTTTAAATTAAAGTCATTGAAATCTGCCTGTATGGTGGTGCCACTGGTCCAGTGGAGAGAAGTGCTGTACAGGAGCAGGACTAGCTGAGAAGCTAAAGCCTTTGATGGGAGGAGAAGCTGAATCAGTGAGCTAGCAAGGGGGCTCGGCCATTATAGGAGGAGATCAGTATCTACTACAGTAAACAGAAGATGCCTGGTTGATTTCATATTTTAGGTGAAGAGACAAGGTCTTTGTTTAGGACTACAGGGAGGGGAGGAGGAGGAGGAAGAGGTGTGACCCCTGACTGCAAGGGACTGAGAGGCTGTCCATCAAAACAGTACAGGGCAAACACAGTTGTCTTGAGACCTGTGGCCTTGCACCTTTACAACAAGCAGCAGGTAAAGGTGGGTACTTGGCTCCCTGCACACGGAGCAGGGGCAATGCTCGAGATTAAACAATGCCTGGACGGATGTGTGAGTTGGTGAAGATGGACAGAGAGGAGAGAGGGAGCTGAAGATTCTGCTGAGGATGAATTTCTGTGAGGGACATAAAAACCAAATCAGGAGGAGACCACAGTGTTGGGAGCATAAGCAAAGCTAGAGAGCTTGTGGATCCCTGTGTGCAAGAGCAAAGCTAGAGAGCGTGTGGATCCCTTGTGAATGGAGCCTGCGACTCCAGCAGTGTGACAGTGTGATACTGGAGATGATGCTCAGTGAGTTGATGAGGTTAAAGGCTCAGGACACGGGGTACCGATGGCAGCAGGTAGGGAAATGAGACCAGGATCTTGTGGCTGAGCTAAAGGGACAAAGACAGGTGAAAAGACACCAGGGCCGAGCACGGGGTTGGGGCGGCAGAGAAATGCGGATCTAAGTGCAAGGGTCTTCCGTGACCCGAGGGGGTAGGTGGTTGGGGACTGACTGGGGTTGTGTAGAAGTCTAAGAAGAAGGGATGAACATTCCACAGGGGCTGGGGATTTTAGGGAAAGGCAGACAGGCTGCAAGAGCTGCACCTGAGGGCTGATGGAGAGAAACAATGGGGTGAATGGTGAAGGCAGAAGCTCTGGTGTTCCTCGGTGGACACAGATACAAAGCGCCTGAAAGTGGGGGGGTGATGCTGATGATGTATCTATAAGATAAGAAAATGCAGGCAGATGGCAGACAGGGACAGGGGAGAGGAAACTGGGATGGCTACAGGTAAACGTAACTCTGATGAGGGCAGATGACCTGGTACACGGAGGAGGGACGTCCAAGGAATGGAGGGACTGGGGGGGGGGAAGGACAGTAGAGAGTAATCTCTTCGTAGAGAGCTGGCTTTAGGGCAGGTAGGGTAGTTAGTGTGGTGGGGAGAGGGTGCTCTGGCTCAGTGGAAGCGGCCCCGGTCACTTGCAGCGCCACGCCAGCGGCCCTGTCTGGAGCCACGTTCCTGTTTGCTGGATGAAAAGAGGGCATGCCGCAGGAGAGACTGGAGTCTCAGTCACGGAAATCGTCACACGAGTAGGGCAGTGTGTTTGAGTCCGACGCACCAGCTTGATCGCTACGTGACTTTGGCCATGTCGCTGGCATAAAGAGATGGGATTCTGTGGGCCAAGCATGCTGTCCGTGAAAACGAGCAATGCCTGGAATAACTCTAGACTCTTTTTGTTGTGTAATGACACAGCAAATGAAACGATGTCAACAAATGGGTTTTGAGTAATGAAATGAAGCTAACAAGATTTAGCCCATAGGCTTGTCAGTGTTGTGATTATAAAAAGTGCTGTGGGTATGCTTTCTCATTCTCAGATTTCAGACAGACAGATAGACAGACGGACAGACAGACAGGGTAGCTCAGGTATTCTGAGACTTGAGGATTTCCGGGTTTTCCTCTCTCCCTGACTGGGGTATTTATAGCAGTGACTTCCCCTTAGCTTTTGAGTGCTCTGTAGATGTGTTCCAGGCAAAATGTAGACATGAAGGAGATGCCTCGGTGTTCTCGGACAGATTGCTTGTGACAGAGTTTCAAAAATTCATAAACACAGCAATGATGCGGTGACAGCTTTCAGGCATGAAACTGTTTATGGCCCAAGATTTCATGGGATGCATAAATCACTCAGATTTCCATATGTCAGCACCATTTTCTAGAAACCATCCAAGAGAATTGCACACTAGAAATAATCAGAGATTTCTGGCTTCTAAACATGGACAAAACGACATCCCTATTACACTCATCAAACTCATCCCCCATTGGTCAATGTGCTCTCATTGGAGCAAGCCTGCCAGCCACAGGGGCCACAGCAGTGTGTGTGTGTGTGTGTGTGTGTGTGTATGTGTGTGCAGTAGTGCAGCAACCCAGGACCTCCAGTGAGACCCAGGACCTCCACTTGTCCCCACATACTTGGCTTCATTGACATTCAGCACCTTCCCATCTGCAGTGACCAAGGTCCGAGGTGGTTTCACCTTCTTCTTGTTTCCACTGAAGGTTGAGGACGATGAAGAGACCGAGGGGCAGCAGCAGTCGAGGAAAACAAAGTAAGGATAAAAATTACTAATACACCTTCATAAAATACTTTAAGAAACTTAATCAGGCATTGGTCAGCATACTCACAGAGTCCGTCCTCTTAATTCTACACTGCTAGTTAAAAATCAAGACAAGTTTTTACATGGCTATAGCTGTATCTCCAAAGCAAGTGTGTGTGTGTGTGTGTGTGTGTGTGTGTGTGTGTGTGTGTGTGTGAGACCAAGACAATATGCCAGAGAATTTGAATTGGGGAAGTAAATTCCCTTTCATGAAATACTCATGAATATTTAAGTGGGTCTATTTTATGCATGATTTACCCAGATAACTGTCAATTCTCCATGTGTATGTATGGAACGGCTGCTTTAGTTAAAATTACAACTTTTGAAATACAAGTGAAATCTATCCTGTGGAAATAAAAATACTGGTATAAGCGGCATGTGCAGACTGACATTCCTTAGGACGGCATCGTTTGCAGTGGCAAGTCCAGAGTTGCTGAAAATGTCTGTCAATGAGGGACTGGTTGGCTCCAAGGCAGCACATAATGCTGAGAAGCACCTCACATCTGTTAAAAAATGTGTTTGCATTTTAGGAACTGATGAAGGAAGATGGTGGGTGGTGTATTTAGCAAGCAAAGGTACACCATGGAAGTTTACTTTCTTGTGTGGAGCTGGGGATTTAATGAAGGGTGCTGGCATGCCGGGAAAGCACACTAAAGGCAGTATTTCCAGCCGTCTTTCTACTTGGTTTCTCGATTGCCGCTGACAATCATAGAAAACATTGCTTTCCATTCTCCTTTCATCTCACTGCCAGACAGGCAACTGTTTCAGGGCTCACTGATGTCATCCCCAAGCTCACAAGTCCCAAGTGTCCCTGTCAGTGACATGCTTTACATGCTAGCTATCGTTCAGCACTGACGGGAAGTGGGAAGGAACCGAGCCTGTTTATGAAATGGTGCAGCCGGCAGAACATTGCTTACAGATCCTACACCTCGGCTCTTCAAATTGGCATGGCACTGGGAACGTCCAGGAAAGTTGTACCATGAGAATGAAAACCTTAATGAAACCAACTCTCATTCTTTCTTTTGCAAATCTACAGAGCAGACTTACAGAAACCCATCCACTCCGCAAAACCATCTTTCCCTTTGAGGCTTAGGCTGTGTTTCTAACCTAGGCCATGCTATTTCTAGGTATGGGTAAAGCAGCTAAAAGGAGATAAAGCAAAACCCCATCAAAATGTCATAATCCGTGATGTTCTAAACTTATATTTTATGTTAATAGAAGTTAACCAATACCATTCAACAAAAACGCTATATTTAGAAAGGCAAGATTCATGGGTGACGGTTAATAGTGCTTTGGCACAGGTAAAACATGTGTAATCATGAACATACAGTTCACGAGAGAGTGTTGTCTCGTTCAATCACAGGGAGTGAAATACCTTAATTTTTCCTGGGCTTCACGCTGTTTTTCCATGTGTCTAAGAGTTTCCAATCTCGATTCAGGAGTAAACAAAGAGGGTTTGTTCCAGAATGCCATGTCATCTTCATTTTCGTCTGATTTCTTCGTGCTGTGTTCCTCTTCTTGTGTCTCTGAAACCTGGAGACGGTCTTTGTTCTCTAAGGAAGATGGACTAGAGCAAAGCAAACAGACCCCAGAGCGTGTGAGCCAAAGAATGCTTCCTCTTAAATTCCTTATACTTGCCTCTGTTAACTTCATATCTGAGAATGGCAAATGTCCTTGGCAGTTCACATGAGCTGAGTTGGAGGACATTATTGCCTTGGCACCAAGACAGAGCCTCATCATCTTAAAAATACTGTAGTAGCCAGTCTCAGTGTGCATGAGCCTAGTTAACATGAACTGGTGTGGGAGCTCTACAAATAACAGAGATCCCTGAGCTCTCCTCAGACCTTGTTCACAGATACGGAGTGGGACCCATGGGTCCCTGCTGTGTCTTGTGGAAAGTTCTGATGATCTCCTGAGCTTGGGCATCACTGAACCTTTGCAGTTTCCCCACATCCGGCCCTACCCCTATCACAGCATCCCCGCATCCGGGCCTACCCCTACCACAGCATCCCCACATCCGGCCCTACCCCTATCACACCATCCCCACATCCGGCCCTACCCCTATCACAGCATCCCCACATCCGGCCCTACCCCTATCACACCATCCCCACATCCGGCCCTACCCCTATCACACCATCCCCACATCCGGCCCTACCCCTATCACACCATCCCCACATCCGGCCCTACCCCTAACACAGCATCCCCGCATCCGGCCCTACCCCTATCACAGCATCCCTTCTCTACACTGCTCCTGGTTCTGGCTCTAGTAGGCAATTTGGTCATTCGACTTCCATGTTCTTCAATAATTTCCCCTCTACACACTCTTGAGAGACATGAAGACATGAGAGACTTTTTGTGGCTTGCCTCTGTATTTTCATGGTTAACGTCTAATTGAGCTACCTCATCTGGTAGCGGCTCTCTGTTCTCTTTTACCCCGCTTTGTGTATGGTCTGTGAATTAAATGATCTCTCTGTGTTGAATGAGCACTTTATGAACTATTCAACATTCGTTCAACATGAATTCAAGACATTCACTGAGCCGGAATCCTGGGCACTATAGATCATGAGATCACTTTCACTTTCGGGACATGATTCTGTTCTAGTCGAGAGAAAATGATGCCAGCACACAATAAACACTGGCATGGATTCTCTCCTCTCATCACTCCCCAGAATACACACTTTGTTAAAGAAAGCGGTACTCAATGTAAACGTATCTAAAGCTATTAGTTCTAGGCATATTAAATAATTACTGTGTTGGAGAATATTATTTTCAGCTGTGTGACTTTTGTTTGCACTGCATTTGGTTAATTCTGTGAAGCTGTGTGACTGTGCCTGTCTAAAACACCTGGTGGTCCTAATAAAGAGCTGAACAGCCAATAGCGAGGCAGGAACAAGGGTAGGCAGGGCTGACAAGGCAGAGAGTATAAATAGAAGGAGAACTGAGCCGCCCAGCCGCCCAGCCGCCCAGCCAGACATGCAGTAAGAATGAAAGAAAGATATACAGAAGTAAGAAATGGAAAAGCCCAGGGGCAAAAGATGAGTGGAATAATTTAAGATAAGAAAAGCTGGCAAAACAAGCCAAGCTAAAGACCGGCATTCCTAGCTCAGAATAAGCCTCCGTGTGTGATTTTCTGGGAACTATGTCGTGGGCTCCCTAAAAAAGGACAAGTAAAAGAGTAGAACACCAACAATATTACTCAGTATTTGTTAGGTTTGGGGGTTGTTACTGGAAAAGCCTCATTAGTTGATCTTCAGAAAGAACACTGTTTTTATAAAGGCATTGAAGGGACAAAATTACTAAAATTTAGATACTCCAGGCAGAACATAGATAAAGGTTCTGCTTGGGTTTCTTTACATGCAATAAACTGCAACTATGTCAGTGAATAAAACAATGAAAATAGCTGAAAAGAAGGGCTTCGCCCTAGAGCTAAAGTTCTTTCTGGTACAGAAATAGCAACCTACAGGGGATGAGGACCATTCTACGATATACTGGTGAATTATGGGAATAATTAGCTCCATTCTTAACTTTTTTTTTCCTATAAAGTGACTACTTGCCTTACTTTCACCCTTTACAATCTAAAACTTTAAAAATGGCTAAAGAAGAGTCAGAGATAGCCTCTGTTCTTGATGATAGGAGTCCCATAAGACGGCCAAGCTGCACGACTGGACCATATGCAGAGTGCCCAGGTCAGTCCCATGCAGCCTCCTCCGGTTGTTGGTTCAGTCTCTGCGAGCCTTCCCATGGAGACCTCTCTGGCTCCCACTCCTTTCCCCCACCTTTGCAGGGTCCCCAAACTCAGCCGCGGGTCTCTGCATCTGCCTCCTTCAGTTGATGACCCCTCTCTGATGACAGAGGGCCAAGGCACCAGTCTGGTCACAGGAGAAGGCCAGTTCAGGCTGCTTTTCCAGCATTGTGACTCTTTTACTGGCTTCTGGGACCCTGCTCCTCACACCATGTCCAGTCTTAATACATGGGGAAGTGCTTAGTCTTACTCTAACTTGGTATGTCGTGATTTGTTGATACTCGTGGGAGATCTGCCCTTTCCTGGATGGAGACAGAAGAGGAAGGGATTGGGAGGTGGGAGAGGAGCGAGGAGGGAGGCTGTGGCTAGGATGCAAAATAAACAGAGGAGTAAAAAATGCTTAAAAAGAAAGCTCTACTTGTGAAAGACTAACACTACTATTCAATAAATGGCGCCTAGTGACGTGCTGCCCACAATGAGCACACCACTCTCCCAACATCACAGACACGTCTTACCACAGATGGTAATTAATACAAGGACCCAAGATTGAGAGGGTGCCCAGAGTGAGAGACTTTGGAGCTTTCAGCCCTAAATGGGATGCCCTCTCAAACCTCTACCCTCAAGGCTCAGAGGTCTATGTGGAAGAGGAGACAGAAAGATTTTTAGAGCCTGAGGTGATGAATGACTCCAAGGAAACTTCCACACACATGAAGACAGATGAACACACCAACTCAGAGCAACTGTGGGAGCATGCACAAGACCTGCACAGGTTCAAGCCAGACAAAATCCCATCGCTGAAAATGGGAAGTAGACACAAAGTATCACCCCTAACCAAGACATTATTTGCAGGTGATGGTTGTTAGAGTAGGAAACTCAGGTTTTTCCAATGGAGTCACTGAATAAAATAATACAAATCACTGAAAAAAAGTGTTTTGCCCTAGAGCTAAAGTGTGATTATATCAACCACATTCCATGGTGGGCTGCATGCCCTGTGGAACTGGTCAATACAAAATCAGACTCTCTCTCTCTCTCTCTCTCTCTCTCTCTCTCTCTCTCTCTCTCTCTGTGTGTGTGTGTGTCCCCGTGCACATGCATGAGCACATGAGCACTGGTTTTTTTTTGTCTTGTTTTGTTTTGTAAGAGAGAGAACATGAAGTAGGTGGGTAGGGAGACAGGAAGAGCTAGGGGGAGTTAGTGAAGAGGATAGACTATCATCAAAACACATGAAATAACATTCTCAATAAGTAAATAAAACATAGAAAATATTTTAGAAAAGAAAAGCCAGCAGAAGCATTAGCTAAGTGACTTAAGTCTCTATTGAATCCAAACATACATGGCTGGTGATAAAGTGTCAGGTCGCTAGAGAGTGAATGAAATCCCACCTTAAGCATTCCCTTCTGCTCACTCTCTTTTGTCCCTCTCCCCACCCATCACTGTTCTAGACCTAAATCACTGTTCTAGAATAAATTCATTTTAGCTAAGATGCACTTCCCGGCCCTAAAATGTCTACAGTTTAAATCAAACTCAAGACATACTTCTAAGCTGAAGGCTTGTAATACCTCTCCAAGTTCCAATCTATCTTGGCCCAACTCACAGTTGGTTTTTCCTGGGAGAGAGGCCCAGTGAACTCCAACTCCCCTGCCTCGTGTGTTTTCCATCTCTGCGCCCATCGTTACGCCTGGTTTGGTCTTGTCTGGGAGCAGGGGAAGGGGCAGGAGGTGAGTGTCACCACCCACTTGACCACTGCCCCTTTAGCCTTGCTGCTACCGCCCTTCTGTCCAGACAACGGCTTCTCTCTTCCAGGGTGTCTTAGTTTCAGAGATACCACAAGAGTTCTCCAACCACACTGTTTCCTGACGAGGTGGTCAATATACTTGGCTGATCCTTCTGGGACAACTCATGAGTGCCTGACACTGACAATTCAGGCCACAGTCTCTTCCTGTGGCCACCACCTTGGTAGCACCCCTTTACAACACCTCACACCTGATTCCTCCTAACCTGGAGACTTTGCCTGTGAGACGGTTCCAGGGCACCACCATGTGAAATGTGGACGGTGGTGACCCTTTAATGTTCACTGACCGCTAGGCTGCTGCAACTCATTACCCATCTTTCTCACTGTTCATTCGCCTGCACTTCCGGTAGACCCTGAATCTCAGTGACATTTTTTTTTTTTCCTGAAGCCTTAGGGGAGATGCTTCCTTTTCCTCCCCAACTAAGCCAATGACTCAATACATCAGCAAGTAACCTAGTCTACATCACTGATGGAGCTTGAGTATACACAGACATTCCTTGAAGGATGAGTACAGAGGGACGCATGTCATGTTGTGGAGGATGGAGTTCATGAGCAAGACAAAAAAGGACTGACATAAGTTTAACTACATGAAGACATTTTGTCACTATGTAGTCCTGGCTGGCCTGGAACTCACAAGATTTGCCTGCCTCTGCTTTCCGGTTGCTGGGGTTAAAGGAGTGAGCCACCATACCCAGCTCCATTAAAATATATGCAGACTTAAAGGCAGCCAACATCACTGAAGATGAAGAGGGACCAGAGCAATATTCAACAGGCATCTAATGTTTTTGTGGCATGTCATTTTCTCCCAAGAGATTCATTGCAAGCGTGCACATGACTGTCACTCATTCTGTCTGGGTGTTTGAACAATAGTGTCTCGCTTAGTTATTTATAAAGTATTTATATACATCTGAAATATTTTATAATTATTATTTTCTCAATTTTAAGAACTATTTAAAACTTGTTCATGGGGAATTGAATCAAGGGACTATAGTTGGATTCACCTAAAATAAATACCATGAAAAATTCAGATTCATAAGATCAATTAGAGAGTTATTAATCACATTTAAAAATATATTCACTATATAATTCACAAAATAGAACATTTTATGATGCAATCAGAATTATTCATTTCATAATTGTGTTATTTGCATTTAACTTTCTAAACTATTCCTGCCTTAGAAATCGAGGCACACCTGTTCGTTCATCTTTCCTGTACATGTTTAGAGAGATTTCTTTTGGGATAATTTCAGATGCAAATGCAAGTTGCTGGTTGGGAAAGGCAATTCTTCTAAGGGAAGAAATCCTTCTAGAATCATCATCAAGGGATACTCATGATGCCCCACGCCTTCCCATGTTACATGCTAGAGCTTAACTGATGCTGCGAACACCTTGGGGAGGAAATACTGCTGCTGTTTTAATGGGAGTTAGCAAGACACCGAACCACTGGTCTACGCACCAAACAGCATGAGTGTCCGTGTGCGGACACCCGGCAGAGCCTGGGTGGCTTTTCTTCTTGTCCTCATCTTCTTCCTGGAGTTTCCTCTGAGCCTCCTCTTTCTCTTTGGCCCGTCTAAGGCAGTAAGCTTTCTCCTGCTCTCTGATTTGCTGTTCAACGGCTGGGTAGTTCTGCGATGCCTGGATCCTTTCAGACCGCTCTATTTCTTTGCCATCCAACCACTTAAACAAAAAGCAATAAGAAGTACAATTATTCAATTCAGCAAGCAAAGTGATCCGTGCCTATAGTGCTAGCAACTCAGGTGACTGAGCCCGGACTACCAGGAGTTCAAGGCCAGACTATGCCAACTTGAAAAGGTAGGAAGGAGGGCGGGGAGGGGGGGGAGTAAGGAAGGAGAGGAAGAGGGAGGATGAGAAGGATCAGCCTTAAGCTTGTGTTGATTGATACATTTTTTAAATTAGAAATAATATTGCCATAGCAACAGAGAGTTAAAACAAAGTAATTAATGAGGAGTATCAGAAATGTTTGTCTGAATCAATGCTTAATTCATACAAGTAATAAAGTTTACAAAGCACCCTTGCTGGAAATAAGTTGGTCTTCTGTCAAAATAATTGATGACAAGTTCTCAAAATATTTCTATTAATTTCATAACTGCTCACTATATTAAGGGTGCTGGTGCTTACATCAAACCACAGCTCCTCTCACAATGGCATCCTGCAAGCCTCTTCATGGAAAGGACCTTATACAAGGAACTCCAGCTCAGGTCAGCTCATGTGCCACCTTTGAAGATTGGTCTTTGTTATAGACAGTGTTTACACAATATTTGTAGCATTTTTTCCATATTAAAATGTGTGCATAGAGGGTGAGATGGTGGCCCAGTCAGTACATTGCTTGCTGCACAAGCATAAGGGCTGTGTTCTACCCCCTCGTCCCCAGGTAAAAAGCTAGGTGTGCGGCTGGTGCATACCCGAACACAGGTAAGACCCCGGAGCCCTTTGGCCAGCTGGCCTACCCTTATTGATGAGCCCCAGGTCCCAGTAAGAGTCCCCATATAAAAACAACCAACAAAGTGTAAACAAGGTGGCTTCTGAGGAGGAATAATACCTGAACTGTCTGCATATAAATACAATCCCGGTATGTATGTATGCCCTCCACATGAATACACAGGTACATACATGCATGCCCCGCCCCCAAACACACATAAGCAAATGGAGAAAACAAAATGCCAACTAAAATGTGAAATGCCAAAGCTGCCTGTTCAAAGAGGGCTATTAATAGATTGATGCGCTTGGCCAACAGTGGTTTCCTTAGGTGCCTGAGATTCAGTCACTCTGAATGTCACCTCATCTGGTCAAAGAGATGTGATGTGACATAGGTAGTGATCTTGAGTGGGCAGGTGTGTCCCCATCGGGTCACACAGAAGCAAGAAATTTGCAAGAGCAAGCGCAAGCCTCAGGGTTGCAGAAGTCGGTGAGGACAGAGGACTTGAACTTGTGAATTCCATAGTCTGACTAGTTCCTGGATCCATCTGACTACTCACAATTGCCTACTGAAGGGCATCTAAAGTACTGTTTTCCTTACACAACCTCAGCTCTTTTTAAAAAAGCCATTCTTGACCATTTAAAAACAAGTTTAGGGGTGTCTTTCTTCTCATTGTGTATGAAGAGACAGATCATGTTATTAAATTTCATTATATAAAACAGAAAGAAAAGAAGGGAGGGAGGGAGGGTAAGAGAGAGGGGGAGAGAGAGAGAAAGAAAAAAAGGGAAGAAAGGAAAGGGAGGGAGGGAGGAAAAAAGAAAGAAAACCCAAGAAAAAAGAAAGGGAGGGAGGAAGGAAGGAAGGAAGGAAGGAAAGAAGGAAAGAAGGAAGGAAGGAAGGAAAGAAGGAAGGAAGAAAGGAAGGAAGGAAGGGAGGGAGGAAGGAAGGAAGGAAGGAAGGGAGGGAGGAAGGAAGGAAGGAAGAAAAAGAAAGGAAACCCAGGAAGCGGCCATAAACCCAAAGGTCCAAAGGTACAGTCTCCCTCTAGAGGTGGCAAACAGCAAGGCACATGTTTCCCCTATTGCTAACAGCCTGCCAGCACCTACATTTCTGCCTCTATACCTACATTTCACCTTCCAGGCCTCTGACCTTCAGAACCCTAAGGTGAATTTGCCTTGCTCTAAGGCTTTGCATTTGTGTTAATCTGCTGAAACGGGAATAGGAAACCAGCACAAAGTGAATATAATGAAATACAAATTTAATGAAGTGTAAAATTTCCAACTACTGGGATAAGCTATATCGTACGTTAAAATGATAATGAAGAGATTAAGAAACGTGTTTTTAAGAGACTCATACAGCTGCTGTGCATAGGCTAGAGATTTCACTTTCAGCTTCCTGGCAGCCACACTAAAAGAGAAAAACACTATGAGTTGGGTGTTTGGTTTTCACTCTCTTGAATTTTAAAATCTATTAATTTCTGGCTTTCATCTAATATCTTGCTTTGAAACATGTCTTAAAAGTGGGATGTCACAGTGGGGATCAGGGAAAGGTTACGTGCTATCTGTTCAGGAATACATTAGATGAGTCCCAGGCTTTCAAAGGCTCTTTGTCTCCAGCATCTGTCCACGAGGACTGAGACCAGAGTGGCAAATTTACCTCCAATTGAAGCAATCATTTAAGGTAATAAGTGGCTGCAGTGAACTCTCTAAAAGCAACTCAGTATAAGCTTGAGTTAAGGTCTAATCAAGTTGGAAAATTCTCAATGAAATATATTCATGACATAAGTAAAATAAATCTCTGCAATAAGCAAATATGAAAGTTTGTAGGTAAATATTAGTATATGTATGTAAATGAGACCACAAAATGTTAATACAAATACGGATTAAACGTTATTTCATTAGATTGGGAGAGTTTAGCTAAATAGAATTTTTAACCTAGGGTTCTGATAAACTTGGGGAAGCAAAGTACTGTCCTTGGTTGTGTCTGGACCATATTTGCCTGTTTGATTTAGAATGCCTTCATAAATGTTTTAAATCTTTATTTGATCGCATGTACTGCTCCTAAGAACACGGCTAAAGACCCCTCTATCACCTTCCAGACTAGAGACCTCAGAGAACTGGCCTTGTGCCCAGCCACCTAGTGCAGGGACCTCATTTACTTGAAGATGTCTTCTAGGTGATGTTCAAACTCCTCCCATGTACTTTCCAAGTCTGAACAGCCCCTTCTGAACTAGGCAGGCCTAGAGCAGCAAAGGCAGGGGAAGCTTTAGCATTTCATGGCCTTCCTCCTCCAGGCTGGCTCCCTGGACCTGGAGTGTGTCTATGCTTGGTGATGATACTTTGTCGGGGTCCACACTGATGATACCCATGCATGGGTATGCTCCAGTGATACCTTCACTGGCACATGCTCGCTGATGAGACCTGTGAATGGGCCACTGAAGCGGAAAGCAACCGAGCTTGACTCGGGCCTTCACTGAGGAACCTACAGGAACAATGGACATGCAGCCAGAGGTGAGTAAGATAAAAGGGGTCTGCGGCTCACGGGTTGGATCCTGAGGAATACTGTGCTGTGGGCTTCCATGGTCAGTGCCCACTCACTCACTGCCTAGAGTGGTGCAGACATCAGGAAACACTTGCAAAGGTTGGGCCTCCTCACAACTCCTCTCTCCTTGGAGGCTGAACTGAGGTTCTAACTCCAGGGTCACAAACTGGACTGTTTGGACATAGGGACAAGGTAGGCAAAATTCACTGGGGGGAGGGGCGACATATTGGAGTAATCCCATATAACTGGTGTGATTACAAAAAGAACTCCATGTGAAGGAACAGAGGCCCAAGAACAGTGTGAAGAGACTAAGGCAGAGGTCAGAGTGAGAAGCATACATGCCAAGGAATGCCAAGTAGTGCCGGCCAGACCTACTATGCAGGAGGCAGGCATAGTCTCCCTCACTGACCGGAGGAGGACCTGACTCAGTGTATTTTTCTATAACTTCATCTGGACCATCTGTTCCCCAGAGCTATGGATGGGATAAGTACTTTCTGTCATTTAAGCCACAGATAGACTGTGTAGATTAACACATCTGCCACTGCCGTTACTTTCAAACACACCTCACAGGCTCCCGGTGACATGGCAACAAAGATTCGAACGTGCATTGCTGTTTCTAAACACCAGTGAACACATTTCTTAATATTATTTGTTCTCAAGCAACACTGGCCTTCTGGAGGAGCTGTGTGAGTGCAGCCTTCCCAGAGAACTTGACCCAATGGTTTGCATCACTCAGCAGAAGCGTGTGCGTGTGCGTGTGCGTGTGTGTGCGTGTGCGTGTGTGTGCGTGTGTGTGTGAGTGTGTGTGTATGCACGCGCGCACTCCTTCACTCGCATGCCTGTGTGCCTGCGTGTGTTGCCTACATGCGCGCACGCGCGCGTGTGTGTGCGCATGCCTGCATGCATGCATGTGATGGATGGTGGGGACTCTGAGAACTAAGCCAATCGATGTCACAAAACCAATGCATTTCAGTATTCTTGTTGCTGAAGCCTAGAGCCACGCACGGGCTGAGAGCTTCAGACTTGGGTGAAAACTAATATCCTCCCTTTAATATTCTCAGTGGTATACTTTTTCTAGAATCACCTTTCTCCTAAATAGTAGATCTAAAATCATTCTAAATAAGATTAGTTCTAACATTATTAGATTTTGGAAATATAGTGGCAAAATGTGAAAGAGCGCAGTAAGGTACACGGTTCAGTTTTAACTGTTATCCCTGACCTGTAGTTCCTTCCCCAAAGTGCGTCATGGAACATCTACAATGTCCTGCTGCCTTTAGGGGATCATAGCAAATTCTCTACAGCTGAGGTCCGACTCAGCTGGTATAGTGCTTGCCTCACAAGCATAAAGACATGAGTCTGATCCCTAGACCTCACATAAAAATGCCAGGCATGGTGACACATGCTCACTCCCACCATTTAGGGAAGCAGATGAAGGAAGATGCTGGGTTTCACTGGCCAGCCTATCTAGGCTGATTGGCGAGCTTCAGGTGAGTGAGACACCTTGCCCCAAAAGAGGTGGAGGGTGTACTTGAGCATGACACTGGGTTGTTCCCTGGTTTATATACACACACGCACGCACACACACACACACAGAGAGAGAGAGAGAGAGAGAGAGAGAGAGAGAGAGAGAGAGAAGTTCTCTGAGCTTACTTGTAGCAAGGCCCTCCTCATTCAGCAGGGTTCCTGACCCATTGAGAACAAAGGGCGGAGGACCTCAGTAGACCTATGCCATAAGGGTCTATAAAATCAGAAACATAACATTCAAAAGACTCCCTTGTCACTGACCATGTGCAGGTCCCTGAAGAGCGGCATGCTCAGATAGGACATGAGAGCTCCAAGCTTTCTCTCTCACACCTCATCTGCGCATCTCTTTAAATGGACTCTTTGGAATAGCCTTCATAATAATAATATATATAAATACATAAAAAGAAGTGTCTTTCAGAGTCCTGTGAGCTGTTGACACAAATGAATAAAAACTGAGGAAGGGATCGTGGGAACCCTGATTATAAGTCAGAACCACAGATTAAAAACTCCCAGGACGGGACTGGTCTTGCAGGCTTGGGATGAGGTCTGAACACCATATCAGGGTAGCATCCAGAGTGAACCAGATTGAGGACAACCAGCTGCTGAAGAAATGAGTCACTGCTTGATGTGCACAAGAAACCCTGGTACATTTGGTGTCAGAAATCTATTGTTCTGGATAGAGAAGGGGGGGCAGTGAAAGCAACTGCTTTTGCTTGACACACACAACACAACAGTGGCCCTCCGGTGAGTGCTTGAAGCATCAGCCCAGGGTTGTTAGATGTTTAAATCTCATGCCCCTTGCCATTCAAACCCACTCAGAAGTCTTGAGGATAGGGCATGGTAAGCTGTTTACTTTGTTTTGACTGCTTGTAGCTGTTTTGAAGCAGGTCTCCTCGTGTAGCCCTGGCTGGCTTCGAACTCACTGTGTAGAACAGGTTGGCCCTGAACCCGCTCCAGTCCTACCTCTCATGCTGGGATCCCAGTGCTGACATGTTAGTAGTAATGGAGGGTGTACGGCAAAGGATGACCCGACTGGTCAGTAAATGGCTACCTTCTGTGCTTTGATGAGACTGGAGAAATACAGGAATACATGACTTACCTTTTCAAGATTTGATAAAGTTTCAAAAACAAAACAACGGCAAAGGTTTAGAAATCACTGGGTGGGATTGATTTTATTCTCTAGAGCATTCCCACCTCCGAGGCAACAAATTGCGGCTCACAAATCCAGGAAGGAACCATCCCCTGCTTCCTTCTCTCTCTCTCTCCTTTGCAGCTTTACTCTAAGCATACCTTTAGCTGCTGTACGGTCACCACCACGAATGGCCTGTAGCCATCAAAGTCAGTGCATGGGTTGCCCATGAGGAAGAGCTCCTTGAGGTGGATGTTGTGCCTCAGGGTTTTAACGCTGCTCAGTTCACCAATAAAATTCACAGTCAAGTCAAGTTTTGTCAGCCATTCACATCCTGTCAAGACAAGAAGAAAAAGCGAAAAGGTTAAAAAAAAAAAAAAAAAAAAAAAAAAAAACAGAGAAAAACAGCATGTTATCTAGCCCTCTCTGGGTCTGTGGATTGTAGAGTGGCTGTCCTTCACTTCATAGCTAATAAACACTTAGGGTACCATGTCTGTCCTTCTGATTTTTTTTTCTAGTTCCATCCATTTTACTTTGAGTTTCATAATGTCAATTGTTCTTAATAGCTGAGTAATACTCCATTGTGTGAGTGTACATTTTGTTAATCCATTCTTCAGTTGAGTGGCATCTAGGATGTTCTGGCTGTTAGGAATAAAGTTCCTATGATCCTAGTTGAGCCAGTGTCCTTGTAGTATGATTGAAAACCTTTTGACATATGCTTAAGAGTGGTATAGCTGGGTCTTGAGGTAGATCGATTCCCAATTTCCTGAGAAGCTGCCATATTGATCTCCAAAGTTGCTGTACAAGTTTGCACTCCCATCAGCAATGGAGAGTGTCCCCCTTGCTCCACACGCTCTCCAGTACTTTCACTTGAGATTTGATCTTAGCCATTCCAACAAGTATAAAATGGAATCGCAGGGTCATTTTGAATGCATTTCCCAGATAGCTAAGGATGGTGATCAATTCCTTGAGTATCTTTCATCCATTCAAGATTTTTCTGATGAGTATTCTGTTTAGATCTGCACCCAATTTTTATTTGTATTATTTGGTTTTTTTGATGTCTAGTTTCTTGAGTTTCTTATATATTTTGGGAATCAATCCTCTGACAGATGTGGGAATGTTGAAGACTTTTCCCATTCTGTTGCCATTTTGTCTTCCTGATGATGTCCTTTGCTTTACAGAATATTTTTAGTTTCATGAGGTCCCATTTATTAACTGTTGATCTTAGTGTCTACACTATTGGTGTTCTACTCAGGAAGCTGTTCCAATGTGTTCAAGGTTATTCCCCACTTTTTGTTTTTCTACAGGTTCAGTGTATCTGGATTTATTTTAAGGCCTTTGATCCATTTGGACTTAAGTTTTGTGCAGGGTGATAGACAGGAATCTGTTTTGTGTTTTTCTATATACTCACATGCAGTTATACCAATGCTATTTGTTGGAAGATGCTTTCTTTTTTTCCATTGTATAATTTTGGCTTCTTTGTCAAAAATCGGGTGTCTATAGATGTATGGATTTATGTCAGTTTTTTTAAATTAATATTATTCAATTTCATTGATCCTCCTGTCTGTTTTATGTCAATACCATGAGGTTTTTATTACTATAGTCCAGTAGTACAACTTGAAATCTGGGATGGTTATACCTCTAGAGGCTCTTTTTTTTTGTGAAGGATTATCTTAGCTATCCCATGATTTTTGTTTTTCCATATGAAGTTGAGTATTGTTCTTTCAAAGTCTGTAAAGAATTGTGTTAGAATTTTAATGGGACTTGCATTGAATCTGTAAATTGTTTTTGGTAAGATGGCCATTTTTACTATGTTGATCCTATGGATTCATGAGCATGAGAAATCTTTCCATCTTGGGGTATCTTCTTCAATTTCTTTCTTTAAAAACTTCAAATACTTGTTATACAGGTCTTTCGCTTGCTTGGTTAGAGTTACACCAAAATATTTTTTATTATTTGTAGCTATTCCTTGATTTCTTTCTCAGCCCATTTGTTTGTATATAGGAGGGCTACTGATTTTTTAAGTTAATTTTGTATTAAGTCACTTAACTAAAAGTGTTTATCACCTGTAGTAGTTCCCTGATATTATTTTGGGGGGTTGCTATATACTATAATATCTTGAGAATAACGATGCATATGCATTGACTTCTTACCTTCCAATTTGTATCCCCTTGATCTCCTTTATTTGTTATTGCTCTAGAACTTCAAGTACTACATAGAACAGATGTGGAGAGAGTGGATAGCCTTGTCTTGTTCCTGATGTTACTGGAACTGCTTTGAGTTTCTCTCCATGTAATTTGAAGTTGGCTATTGGCTTACTATACATTGCTTTTATTATGTTTAGTTATGCCCATTGTATCCCTGATCTTTCCAAGATTTTTAACATGAAGGGGTTTGGAATTTTGTCAAAAGATTTTCAGCATCTAATGAGATGATCGTGTGGTTTTTTTTTTCTTTCAGTTCGTATATATGGTGGATTACACTGACAGATTTTCCAGTGTTGAACCATCCCTGCATCGCTGGGATTAAGCCTACTTGATCATGGTGAATGATCATTCTGACGTGTTCTCCGATTCAGCTTGCCAGTATTTTATTGAGTATTTTTACATCAAAGCTCATGAGTGAAACTGGTCTGTAATTCCCTGTCTTTGCTGAGTCTTTATATGATTTGGGTATTAGGGAGACTGTGGCACCATGAAAAGAATTTGGCAATGTTCCTCCTGTTTCTATTTTGTCTAATAATTTGAAAGGTCTTGGTATCGGCTCTTCTTTCTAGGTCTGGTAGAATCCTACTTTAAAACAATCTGGCCTTGAGATTTTTTTGTTGCTGTTTTGTTTGTTTGTTTTGTTTTGGGGGGGAGGACTTTTAATGATGGCTTCTATTTCCTTAGGGGTTATTGTTCTATTTAGGTTATTCATCTGGCCCTGATTTAACTTCTTCATGTTTTTCCAGATTTTCTGGACGTTTTGTGTAGGAATCTTTTAGATCTAACATTTTCTTTGACCGATGAATCTACTTGTACTATTGTACCTTCAGCACCTGAGATCCTCTCTTCCATCTCTTTAATTCTGTTGGTGATGCTTGCATCTGTAGCTTCTGTTCGCTTACTCAGATTTTCCATTTCCTGAATTCTCTTAGTTTGTGTTTCCTTTATTGCTTTTGTTTTGGTTTTCATGGCTTGAATACTTCCCTTCACATGTTTGTTTAGTTTAATTCGTAGCTTTCTTGGCATTCTTTAAGGGATTTGTTGATTCTTCTCCAAGTTTTCGGTTATCTTTTCCTCCATTTATTTTTTATGATATTTTTATTTAAATTTGAAACAAGCTTGTTTTACATGTCATTTCCAGTATCCTCACCCTCCCCTCCTCCCCTGTTCCCCCCAACCCCCATCCCATCCCCTTTCTGCTCCTCATGGAGGAAGGTTGAGGCCTTCCATGGGGATTATCAAAGTCTGTCATATCATTTGGAGCAGGGCCTAGCCCCTCCCCAATGTATCTAGGCTGAGAGAGTATCCCTCCATAGGGAATGAGCTTTCAAAGTGTCCCATAATTTGGGTATGCTGTGTCTTCATTCTCATTGCATTCTAGGAAGTCTTGAATTTATTTATGTATTTCTTCCTTGACCCAGGAGTTGTGCACTTGTGCATTGTTCAGTTTCCATGAGTTTGTAGGGTTTCTGCAATTTGTGTTGTTGTTGAATTCTAACTTTAAAGCACGGTGGTCTGATAAGATACAGGGAGTTATTCCAAATTGTTTTGTACCTATTGAGGTTTGCTATATTGCCAAGTGTGTAGTCTATTTTAGTAAGGGTTCCATGTGGTGCTGAGAAGAAGGTATATTCTTTTGTATTTGGATGGAATGTTCTATAGATGTCTGTTAAACCCAATTGGGTCATAACTTATGTTAGTTCCTTTGTTTCTTTTTTTAAGTTCTTTCTGGTGGTCCTTTCTAGTTTGAGAGTGGCTGTTGAAATTTCCCACTATAAGTGTGTGAGGTTTTATGTGCAATTTGAGTTTTAGTAATGTTTCTCTTACAAATGTGGGTGCCTTTGTATTTGGGGCATAGATGTTCAGAATGACCATTGATTGTTAATTTTTGTTTGTTTTGATTTATTGGTGGTAGTGGAATTATGTATGGATTTCCCCAATTTATTTTTTGTTGTTGTTGTTTTGCTTTGTTTGTTTGTTTGGCTGTTGGTAAAATAGGATTAACTATTGCCTATGTTTTTGTGAGTGTAGTTAACTTCCTTGGGTTGGAGTTTTCCTTCCACAACTTTCTGTAGGGCTGGATTAGTTGATAAGTATTACTTAAACCTGTTTTGCCATGGAATATCTTAGTTTCTCCATCTACAGTGATTGAAAGCTTTGCTGGGTATAGCAGTCTGGGCTGGGCTGGCATCTGTGGTCTCAGTGTTGGTAGAATATCTAATCAGGACTTTCTGGCCTTCAGAGTTCCCATGGAGAAGTCAGGTGTAATTCTGATAGGTTTGCCTTTATAAGTTACTTGGCCTTTTACCTTTGCTGCTCTTAATATTCTGTCTTTATTCTGTATGTTTGATGTTTTGATTATTATGTGGTGAGGGAACTTTTTTGTGGTTCACTCTATTTGGTGTTCTGTAAGCTTGTACTTTCATTAGCATGTCTTTCTTTAGGTTGGAAAATTTTGTTCTATGATTTTGTTGAATATATTTTATGCACCCTTGAGTTGGATTTCTTTACCTTCTTCTATATGTATTATTTGTAGGTTTGTCCTTTAATGGTGTCCCATATTTCCTGGATATTTTGTGTTAGGGACTTGTTGGGCTTAAGATTTTCTTTGGTCAATGAACCTATTTCTCCTAGTGTATCTTCAACGTTTGAGATTCTCTCTTCCATCTCTTGTATTCTGTTGGTTATGCTTACATCTATAGTTCCTGCTCATTTACCCAGCTTTTCTATTACTAGCCTTTATGTTTCTTTGTTTTGTTTTGTCTGTATTTTAGCTTTCAAATCTTGCACTGTTTGAATTGTTTCTTAGAATTTTTGGTTTGTCTTTTCTTCCATTTCTTTAAATGATTTTCTCATTTCCTCTTTTAGGGTCTCTATCATTTTCATGAAGTTGTTTTTAGGGTCGCTCTCTTCTGCTTCATCTGTGTTGGGATGTTCAGGTCTTGCTGGAATGGAGTTCCTAGACTCTGGGGGCATCATAATGATCTTTCTGTTGATGACTTTGTTCTTAATAATGCCATCTACCCATCCCTTCTTCCAGTGTGTTCCGGTGGAGTCTCTCCCTCTCCTGGTGGGTATGGGACCAATGTTCTCTTCCAGTGGGTACAAGCAGGTTCAATACTCCAAT